CGGCCTCTTTGGCACTGGATTTTGTCGAATATCTTACAAAATATATTACTAAAAATATATAATAATAGTATGCATGTTAGTACTGAATATTTTGCATAATAGTTTTCAGCCTTGTATAATATGTACTGAATTATAGTTGTGTAAAATGTACATGGCATTACTCTACTCATGTAATAGATAATAACTACACCATGTTAATAAATATTGTAATAAATGCACAAGGTATTAGCAAATTTTGAACAGCATATTTAACTTTATTATTGATATAAATTATGGTAAATTGCCAAATTTATTTCAGAATGCATCATATTAAGTTAAAGAGAGAATTGTTATTTTGCTTATCATAAACTTACCTGAGCGGTTAGCACCCACCAGATTTTTGAGATACTACATTTTTGAATGTATTGTTCTCTTTCTCTCTCCATTTTTCTAACTCACTCTCACTCTCAATACATACAATTCAGTGTTAACCACAATACAAAACCCTTATTAAACAATTAAACGGGAAATACCGGTGCGAAAGGGGGTGTTTAAAGGTAGCAATAATTTATAAACTTATGTGCACGTGATTAATGTGTTCCGGGTGCTTTTTATTATCTAACATATTGTCTAAATAAATCATTGGGTATATCTATATATAGCAAATGCATAAACCCACAGAGTTCTGTAAGAGTTGCACCAGAATTACATAAAAGGATATACACTTTTGGTTACAACAATGCTAAGACTACCGGCCCTTCAGGCACTGGGTATCTATGAACTATTCATAGTATACTGTATACTCTGTGTGTATACTGTTTGAATTGAATAGGGTAAATTCAATTTATTATAACAAGTATAACAATCACGAGGTATTAATATATTCTGTAGATGAAGTATATGTGCGCGAAAGTGTCTGTGCACTATAGACATGGTTAACCACGTACGGAAAAAATTATTTATTACCTTGGTGTATGTATGTATTGGCACCTTAACCCTCCTCCCTGTGCTCATACCATATCCCATACACCCCTATACCCCGAGTCCGCCCCTCTATCTATTCAACGAGATGTGCTTTTTATAATTCCTGTATATTATATGGATATGCTGTACAGGTATACTGTATTTTGTGTATTGTATGTGTGAATCAAATGTATATATTGTATAATACCTGACCTTTTTTAGTGTATAAATACTATTTGATAGTAAAATAAATCCCGTATAAAAAAACTTTTACATTGTTTAGTTTCCCTTTTTTGGGCAAAAACTTTTCCCGACTCTCTCTCTCTCTCTCTCTCTCTCTCTCTCTCTCTGAGAATATCCATTGAATAATCGATGCCATGAATTAAAGTCATGTATGAAAAGGGGGTTTGTTTTGCATTGAGATCTATATCTTTAGTACACCATTGAGTGCACCGATAGATATATCACTTCACATACGGTGTCTGTCTATATACATACATGTCGTATCTCTCTCTCCCGTATGTGAATGAGATGTCCTTAAAATGATTTGTCGTATTATATGATTGATAATGTAATAAATAC